AATCGCGGGCGACGAAGACGCGGAGCCCCGGGGTTATATTCTTGGCGCGGATTTTTCGTGAAACGTTACGCGCCGAAGGCCGTCACATGCGTGCGAGCGATTAGCGTGCGGTTCTATCGTGATCTACGTCAAACTCTTGGCAATCGACCTGCGCTTCCGTGTTTCGCGACCTTTTTATTAAATATCGCGGCGTCCCGCATACAGGTACGGCGGCGAGGAGGCGATCGATCCTCGTTCGAGAACTTCGCCAACGGACACGTGCGAAAAGCGTTGCGGTGTCGCGTGTCCCGTGACTCCCCCCCCCCTCCCTCTCCCGGCCCCTCGCGAAAAGAATGGGCTGTATTTTCGCGGACTCGCTAATACCCTGCATGGCGTGGCGTCACGCAGGCCAGTTCCTGCAGTAGCGCCTGCTCCAGAAGCGAACGTGAACGTTTTTAAGGCCGACCCAATTTCGCTAGATTGTTCGGGGGGGAGGGGGGTAGTAATAAATTGGCAGACGATTCGAGAATCGGAGGGAAACGCGCCAGAATTCTCGACGCCCGATTATATTCTATCATCGAGAGAGAGAGAGAGAGAGAGATTTCTGGAGAAAAATTTTTTCTTTATCGTTTGAAAATAATTTGGCGAGGGTCACTATGACATTTACGCATCGATCAGTGAAGAAATCGCTGGCGATGCAAGTCCATGTTTCAAATTGTGAACATGTACAAAAATAATACGATCAGAGATTAATTTTAGAAACATATTATCTCCTCTCAGACAGATAAAGAGATCGCCTTTAACATATAGAGTTCGGAAAGTCCGATTATTAGCAATATATTACCCGATCTCCAATCAAACGTTTGCACTCTTCCTGACGTCACCCATTTCCGCTTATCGCGACGCGTGTATATTTTCATCTTTCGAGCGCGTTATTAGAAAGAAAATGAGAAAAGTTGACGAGAGAGAGGAATTTGCTCGTATCTAAGAATCGTGTAAACACAGGGAGATTTCTGTAGCGAAAGATTTCCGTCGTGCTACTACTTGATACCAATACTCGCTCTTGAAGGTTGGTACACGTCAAAAGTTATTTAGCTTTCAACTTCAGTTGACAAATACGACAAATCCGAGTGTCTACGCTCGCGAAGGAGGACGTGACAAGCTTACTTCGACTGATAAAAAGCGTCCACAAGTTCGCTGAAGGTGTAACCGAGAGGTCAATCGCTACTAAAAAATGTACATTGATTTTTTTTCCAATTATGGCAATACAATACAGTTTATTGCTTATTGTATTGCTTTCGTGTTGTCAGCAATATTGCACGGAAAAAAAAAACGATTTTGCTGGAAAGTCTAAAGAAATTGTTTTGCTGGATACAGATCTGAAAATACAATTCTTGGACCATCAAAATAATTTTGTTGGAGAGTCAAAAATGATAAGCATTACTGTAAAACGTTCTTATATTCCAGCACAAGTTCAGTTTCGACTTTTCAACAAAATTATTTTGATGATCCAACAAGAATTATTTTCAGCTCTGTATCCAGTAAAATCGTTCTTTCCGTGTGCCATCTATTATCTCATGTATATACTGCCACCTATTACGCAAAATATTGCCAAATATTGCTAATGTATTGTTAGATATGTATTGATAGCGTATTGCTAGTATTGTACTGCCGCAATACATGGCAAAATATATTCCTAAAAAAATGATACACTGATTCCCACAATAATTGACCTCTCGGTTGTAGCTATAAGGTATATCAGTGCCGGGCGTAGAGATGTAAATAGAAAAAAAACCAAATTGTTTTTTTTCCATAAAATACGTTTTTTTTTAAACAAGCCTCGTTTATTTCTCAAAAAAAATTTTTTTTTATCTATCTAATATCTATATTTTGCTTAATATAAGTTAATTTTTTATGATTTTTTTTTATACATAGATTTAAATTATCATTTCAATCTTTACGCAGAGCGAGAAAGCCAATATATTGATTCTGAAACGCATTTTGAAGCAAGAACATCAATAAATAATTATAATAAATTCTACTTAAGGAAGAGCTGTTTAGAAAAAGAATTAAAAAGATTCTTTTGCAAAAGTTAAATGTAGATCACATTAAAATTAATTATATAATTATAAAAATACTATTTACAATTAATTAATTGTGCTGTTGGAATTGGAAAAAAAATCAAATTTGTATTTTTTTTCAATGAAATAAAACGTTTTTTTCTAATATTTTTTCTATTAGAAAAAAAAACTTTTTACATCTCTAACCGGGCGTATTTATCGGTCAAGATGCTTGATGTTTTTAAATTAACTTGGCGCGTTACAGCGTGTGTATGTATGTACGTATCGCGGGCGTTGGTGTGTGTGTGTGTGTGTGTGCATATCCCGTGCACGCAATGCGGGAGTAGGGCGAGTGACCGAATTCGCTATTTAGGCGGGACGCTCCGCTCTCGGCTCTCCACGCTACGCTACGCTGTGCGGTGGTGCGGTGCGGCGTCGCGCACACCGCGTTCCGTCACGCGGCGCAGCGGCAGTCACACACACACACACATACACACACACACACTGCAGCGGGCACAGTCGGGTAGTGGGGCGGCGTGCCGCGAGAGGGTGTCGCGCGAGGCCGCCGAAGAAGACAGGTCAGGGCTGGGGCCCCCAGTCCAGTCAGTCGGTGCGTGCGTTCGTTCGCGTGCGGTGTGTCAGTTGTGCGCTGCTGCTTCTGCCAATCCTCCTCTTTCTCTCTCTCCTCTCCGTTGCTCCCGCGCGCGCGCGCGCGAGCTGCACTCTCTCCTTCTCTTTCTCCTTCCCTCCCTCCCTCCCTCCCTCCCTCTCCCTCATCCTCTCACCTTCCTCTCCTCCGCCAGAGAGGAGGAAGTCGCGCGCGTTCCGCCGAGCGCGGCCGAGTTCCCGGGCAGCGGCTGGAGTCCGGCGAAGCGGAGCAGAGCGGAGCGGCAGCGCGAGCGTGTTCGCTGCGGATTACGTCGCGCGCGCG